TCCGGCAGGTGGGAATGGGAATGGGAATGGGAATGGCTGGGAATGGATGGAAATGACCTGGGAATGGCCTGGGAATGGTGGGGAGGGAGAGGGTGGGATGGACGGCATCCTGAGGCACCACTCCCTCTGGCAGGTGGGAATAACGGCATGGGAATGCCTGGGAATGGCATGGGAATGGCTGGGAATGGCATGGGAATGGCTGGGAAAGGCCTAGGAATGGATGGGAATGGCTGGGAATGACCTGGGAATGGATGGGAATGGCTGGGAATGGTGGGGAGGGAGAGGGTGGGATGGACGGCATCCTGAGGCACCACTCCCCGGCAGGTGGAATGGGAATGGGAATGGGAATGGCTGGGATGGCACCTGGGAATGGGAATGGGAATGGAATCAGCTGGGAATGGCGTGGGAATGGAGTGGGGAATGGGAATGGGAATGGGAATAATCACCTGGGAATGGCTGGGAATGGATGGGAATGATGGGAATGGGAATAATCACCTGGGAATGGCATGAGGAATGGCGGATGGGAATGGATGGGAATGGGAATGATGACCTGGGAATGAGCACTGGGAATGGCATGGGAATGGACTGGGAATGGGAATAATCACTGAGAATGGATGGAATCTGGGAGTGACCTGGGAATGGAATGGGACAATCACCTGGGAATGGGAATAATCACCTGGGAATGGTGGGGAGGGAGAGGAGATGGGATGGGATGGACGGCATCCTGAGGCACCACTCCCTCCGGCAGGTATGGGAATGGGAATGGGAATGACTGGGAATGGCTGGGAATGGTGGGGAGGGAGAGGGGATGGACGGCATCCTAAGGCACCACTCCCTCCGGCAGGTATGGGAATGGGAATGGGAATGGGAATAATCACCTGGGAATGGGAATAATCACCTGGGAATGGGAATGGGAATGGGAATAATCACCTGGGAATGGGAAAAATCACCTGGGAATGGATGGGAATGACCTGGGAATGGTGGGGAGGGAGAGGGTGGGATGGACGACATCCTGAGGCACCACTCCCTCCGGCAGGTGTGGGAATGGGAATGGGAATGGGAATGGGAATGGGAATGGCCTGGGAATGACCTGGGAATGGCATGGGAATGGCTGGGAATGGTGGGGAGGGAGAGGGTGGGATGGACGGCATCCTGAGGCACCACTCCCTCCGGCATGTGTGGGAATGGGAATGGGAATAATCACCTGGGAATGGCTGGGAATGACATGGGAATGGATGGGAATGACCTGAGAATGACCTGGGAATGGATGGGAATGGATGGGAATAATCACCTGGGAATGGATGGGAATGGCCTGGGAATGATCTGGGAATGGCTTGGGAATGACCTGGGAATGGATGGGAATGGCTGGGAATGACCTGGGAATGACCTGGGACTGGTGGGGAGGGAGAGAGGATGGGGTGGGGTGGGGTGGGGTGGAATGGAATAAATGGGATGGGACAGGATGGGGGAGAGCGGGATGGGATGGGATGGGATGGGATGGGATGGGATGGGATGGGATGGGATGGGATGGGATGGCATCATCAAGAGGGATGGGCTGGGATGGGACAGGCTGGGATCTCTGGGATGAGCCAGGCTGGGATCACTGGGATGAGCCAGGCTGGGATCACTGGGATGGGATGGGACAGGCTGGGATCACTGGGATGAGCCAGGCTGGGATCACTGGGATGGGATGGGACAGGCTGGGATCACTGGGATGGGACAGGCTGGGATCACTGGGGTGGGACAGGCTGGGATCACTGGGATGGGACAGGCTGGGATCACTGGGTTGGGATCACTGGGATGGAATGGGATGGGACAGCTGGGATCACTGGGTTGGGATCACTGGGATGGGATCACTGGGAGGGGATGGGATGGGATGGGACAGGCTGGGATCACTGGGTTGGGATCACTGGGATGGGACAGTTGGGATCACTGGGTTGGGATCACTGGGTTGGGATCACTGGGATGTCCCCCCCCCCCATTCCAGGGGTATCCATGCCCTTTTCCCGCAGGCCCCGCAGCCCCAGAGCAGCCTCCAGCGCGGAATTCCCACCTCTGCCCGCTCCATGCTCTCCAACTTCGCCCAGGCCCCCCAGCTCTCCGTGGCAGGGGGGCTGCTCGGGATGCCAGGTATGGAATGGGATGGATGGGATTGATGGGAATGATGGGATGGGATACAGGGATGGGATGGGATGGGATTGATGGGATTGATGGGATTGATGGGATGGGATGGGATGGGATGGGATGGGATTGATGGGATGGGATGGGATGGGATGGGATGGGATGGGATGGGATGGGATGGGATGGGATAGGATGGGATGGGATTGATGGGATGGGATGGGATGGGATGGGATGGGATGGGATGGGATGAGATGGGATGGGATGGGATTGATGGGATGGGATGGGATGGATGGGATGGGATTGCTGGGCTGAGTTAGGCTGGCTGGGCTGGGCTGGGCTGGGATGGGATGGGATGGATAGGATTTGATGGATTTGATGGATGGGATGGGATGGGATGGAAATGAATGGATGGGATGGGATGGGATGGGGTGCATTTTGGGGCTCCTCTGTGTCTCTTTTGGGCTCCCTCTCTTTGGAGGATGGGATGGGATGGGATGGGATGGGATGGGATGGGATGGGATGGGCTGGGATGGGATGGGATGGGAATGATGGGCTGGGCTGGGCTGGGCTGGGATGGGATGGGCTGGGATGGGATGGGATGGGCTGGAAATGATGAGATTGATGGGATGGGATGGGATGGACAGGATGGATAGGATTGGAATCAAATGGGATTGATGGGATGGGATGGGATGGACAGGATGGATAGGATTGGAATCAAATGGGATTGATGGGATGGGATGGGATGAGATGGATGGGATGGGATGGGATGGAAATGATGGGATTGATGGGATGGGATGGGATGGACAGGATGGATAGGATTGGAATCAAATGGGATTGATGGGATGGATGGGATGGGATGGGATGGAAATGAATGGATGGAATGGGGGTCTATTTTGGGTGCTCCTGTGCTGCTCTGGGGGTGCATTCTGGGGCTCCCTCCCTTTCTGGGTGTCTATTTTGGGTCCCCTCCCTTTCTGGGGGATGGGATGGGATGGGATCAGATGGGATGGGATACAGGGATGGGATGGGATGGGATCGGATGGGATGGGATTGGATGGGCTGGGCTGGGCTGGGTTGCAATGGGAGGGGATGGGATGGGATGGGATGGGATGGGATACAGGGATGGGATTGATGGGATGGGATGGGATGGGATACAGGGATGGGATACAGGTATGGGATGGATGGGATGGGATACAGGTATGGGATTGATGGGATGGGATTGGATGGGATGGGATGGGATGGGATGGGATGGGATGGGATTGATGGGATGGGATTGGATGGGATGGGATGGGATGGGATGGGATGGGATGGGATTGATGGGCTGGGCTGGGCTGGTCTGGGCTGGTCTGTGCTGGGCTGGGGGTGCATTTTGGTGTCCCTCCTTTCTGGATTGTTTATCCCCTCCCCTCCGTGTCCCTCCCCCAGGGTGAACATCGCGTGCACTGAGCGCCGGGCTGGGCGCCCACAAGCGTCGAGGCCTGGCGGAGCGGCAGCTGGAAATATCTGCTGGATATGATCCCACCGCTCCATATCCCAGCCCATCAGCGGACAGAAATAACCCCCTCACCCCTGAGAGCTCCTCCTGCCCCTCACAAGGTTGTATTTTTTGGGAAAACCCGGAAAAAGAAGGAAAAAAAAACCCGGAAAAAGGAAAAAAACCGGAAAAAAGGAAAAAAACCCCGGAAAAAGAAAAAAACCCTGGAAAAAAGGAAAAAAAAAAGGAGAAAAAAAACCAACCAGGAAAAAAAACTACAGGGAGAACAAAGACAAGGCAAAGCCACCCTTATCCATCCCACCCCCCTTTTTCCAGGTTTTTGGTATCCCCCAGGCTTCTTTTTTTTATTATTTTTTTTCCTTCCCTCTGTGGGGTTTTTTTTTATTTTATTTTCCCCCCTCTGTGGGGTCTTTTTAATTTTATTTATTTTTTTCCCCTCTCTGTGGGGTTTTGGGTTTTTTTTATTTTATTTTTTTCCCCCTCTCTGTGGGGTTTTGGGGTTTTTATTATTTTATTTTATTTTTTTTCCCCCTCTCTGTGGGGGTTTTGGGGTTTTTTTATTTTATTTTATTTTTCCCCTCTGTGGGGTTTTGGGTTTTTATTTTATTTTATTTTCCCCCTCTGTAGGGTTTTGGGAGTTTTATTTTATTTTATTTTTCCTCCCCCTCTGTGGGGTTTTGGTTTTTTTTTATTTTATTTTTTCCCCCCCACTGTGGGGTTTGGTTTTTTTTTTATTTTATTTTATTTTTTCACCCTTTTTTTTGGGGGGTGTTTTTTCTCCTCTTATTTTCCCCTCCTTTTTCCCTCAATTCCCTCCTCCAACCCGTTTTCCTTCGCTCCATTCATCCCATCAATCCCATCCCATCCCATCAATCCCATTCCATCCCATCAATCCCATCCCATCCCATCCCCCGGGACTGTGCTGTTCCCGTTGGGAATGCCCCGTTCCCGTTGGGAATGCCCCGTTCCCGTTGGGAATGCTCCGTTCCCATTGGGAATGCCCCGTTCCAATGGGAATGCCCCGTTCCCATTGGGAATGCCCCGTTCCAATGGGAATACCCCGTTCCCATTGGGAATGCTCTGTTCTCAATGGGAATGCCCCGTTCCAATGGGAATGCCCCGTTCCCGTTGGGAATGCCCCGTTCCTGTTGGGAATGCCCCATTCCTGTTGGGAATGCTCCGTTCCCATTGGGAATGCCCCATTCCCGTTGGGAATGCCCCGTTCCCGGGGGGAATGCCCCGTTCGGTGCAGGAGATCGAGCAGAGGCTGCAGCAGCAGGCGGCTCTGTCCCCAACGGCCGCGCCCGCCGTGCCCGCCGTGGGCAAACAGGACGGCATCCTGAGGCACCACTCCCTCCGGCAGGTACGGGAATAACGGCATGGGAATGGGAATGATCACCTGGGAATGAGCTGGGAATGACCTGGGAATGGATGGGAATGGCTGGGAATGGTGGGGAGGGAGAGGGGATGGGATGGACGGCATCCTGAGGCACCACTCCCTCCGGCAGGTACGGGAATAACGGCATGGGAATGGCTGGGAATGGCATGGGAATGGCTGGGAATGACCTGGGAATGGCTGGGAATGACCTGGGAATGGCTGGGAATGGTAGGGAGGGAGAGGGGATGGGATGGACGGCATCCTGAGGCACCACTCCCTCCGGCAGGTGGGAATGGGAATGGGAATACTGGCTGGGAATGGGAATAATCACCTGGGAATGGATGGGAATGGCATGGGAATGGTGGGGAGGGAGAGGGGATGGACGGCATCCTGAGGCACCACTCCCTCCGGCAGGTGTGGGAATGGGAATGGGAATGACCTGGGAATGGCTGGGAATGGTGGGGAGGGAGAGGGGATGGACGGCATCCTAAGGCACCGCTCCCTCCGGCAGGTGTGGGAATGGGAATGGGAATGGGAATGGGAATGGGAATGGGAATAATCACCTGGGAATGGCTGGGAATGGCCTGGAAATGACTGGGAATGGCATGGGAATGGTGGGGAGGGAGAGGGGATGGGATGGACGGCATCCTGAGGCACCACTCCCTCCGGCAGGTGGGAATAACGGCATGGGAATGGCTGGGAATGGCCTGGGAATGGATGGGAATGACCTGGGAATGGCTGGGAATGGCATGGGAATGGTGGGGAGGGAGAGGAGATGGGATGGGATGGACGGCATCCTGAGGCACCACTCCCTCCGGCAGGTATGGGAATAACGGCATGGGAATGCCTGGGAATGGCATGGGAATGCCTGGGAATGGCATGGGAATGGCTGGGAAAGGCCTAGGAATGGATGGGAATGGTGGGGAGGGAGAGGGGATGGACGGCATCCTGAGGCACCACTCCCTCCGGCAGGTGTGGGAATGGGAATGGGAATGACTGGGAATAATCACCTGGGAATGGGAATAATCACCTGGGAATGGTGGGGAGGGAGAGGGTGGGCTGGACGGCATCCTGAGGCACCACTCCCTCCAGCAGGTGGGAATGGGAATGGGAATAATCACCTGGGAATGGGAATAATCACCTGGGAATGGATGGGAATGGTGGGGAGGGAGAGGGGATGGACGGCATCCTGAGGCACCACTCCCTCCGGCAGGTGGGAATAACGGCATGGGAATGCCTGGGAATGGCATGGGAATGGCATGGGAATGGCTGGGAAAGGCCTAGGAATGGATGGGAATGGATGGGAATGACCTGGGAATGGCTGGGAATGGTGGGGAGGGAGAGGGGGGGATGGACGGCATCCTGAGGCACCACTCCCTCCGGCAGGTGGGAATGGGAATAATCACCTGGGAATGGCTGGGAGTGACCTGGGAATGGGAATGGGAATAATCACCTGGGAATGGCTGGGAATGGATGGGAATGGATGGGAATGGGAATGGGAATAATCACCTGGGAATGGCTGGGAATGGCTGGGAATGGATGGGAATGGGAATAATCACCTGGGAATGGATGGGAATGGCTGGGAATGGATGGGAATGGGAATAATCACCTGGGAATGGCTGGGAATGGCTGGGAATGGATGGGAATGGGAATAATCACCTGGGAATGGATGGGAATGGCTGGGAGTGACCTGGGAATGGGAATGGGAATAATCACCTGGGAATGGGAATAATCACCTGGGAATGGTGGGGAGGGAGAGGGTGGGATGGACGGCATCCTGAGGCACTCCCTCTGGCAGGTGGGATCACTGGGATGAGACAGGCTGGGATCACTGGGATGGGACAGGCCGGGATCACTGGGATGGGACAGGCTGGGATCACTGGGATGGAACAGACTGGGACCACTGGGGTGGGACAGGCTGGGATCACTGGGTTGGGATCACTGGGATGGGACAGGCTGGGATCACTGGGTTGGGATCAGTGGGATGGGATCACTGGGATGTCCCCCCCCCCATTCCAGGGGTATCCATGCCCTTTTCCCGCAGGCCCCGCAGCCCCAGAGCAGCCTCCAGCGCGGAATTCCCACCTCTGCCCGCTCCATGCTCTCCAACTTCGCCCAGGCCCCCCAGCTCTCCGTGGCAGGGGGGCTGCTCGGGATGCCAGGTATGGAATGGGATGGATGGGATTGATGGGATGGGATTGATGGGATGGGATTGATGGGATGGGATGGGATTGATGGGATGGGATTGATGGGATGGGATTGATAGGATAGGATGGGATGGGATTGATAGGGATGGGATTGATAGGATTGATGGGATTGATAGATAGGATTGATGGGATGAGATGAGATGGGATGAGATGGAGATGAGAATGAGATGGGATAGGATAGGATTGATGGAGATGAGATAGAATTGACAGAGATAGATAGGATTTGATAGATGGAATCAAATGGAGATAGGATGGAAATGATGGGATAGGCTAGGCTGGGCTGGGATGAGATGGGATGAGGATGGGATTGATGGGATGGATGGGATGAGATTGATAGGATGGGATGGGATGGATTGATGGGAATGATGGATGGGATGGATGGGATGGGATTGATAGGATGGGACTAGGCTGGGATTGGAGATGGAGATGGGATGGGATTGATGGGATGGGATGGGATGGGATGGGATGGGATTGATGGAGATAGGATTGATAGGATGGATGGGATGGGATGAGATAGGATGGGAATGATGGGATGGATAGGGATGGATTGATGGGATGGGATGGGATAGGGATTGATGGGAATAGATGGGATGGGATGAGATGTGATAGAGATGAGCTAGGGATAGAGATGAGGATGAGAGATGATAGAGATAGAGATAGAGATAGAGATGAGATAGGAGACAATAGAGATAGAGATAGGATGAGATAGAGATAGAGATGAGAATAGAATGAGAATGAATAGAGATAGAGATAGAATAGAGATAGAGATAGAGATAGAGATAGAGATAGAGATAGAATTGATAGAGATAGAGATAGAATAGGATAGAGATAGAGATAGAGATAGAATGAGAATAGAGATAGAATAGAATAGAATTGAGATAGAATTGATAGGATAGAGATAGAATAGAATGATGATAGAATAGAATGAGAGAATAGAGATAGGATGAGATAGAATGATAGAATAGAGATAGAGATAGAATGAGATGAGATGATAGAATGAGATAGAATGAGATAGAATGAGAATGAGATAGAGATAGAGATAGAGATAGAGATGAGATAGAGATTGATAGAGATAGGATGATAGAATGAGATAGAGATAGAGATAGGATAGATAGAGATAGAGATAGAGATAGAATTGATAGAGATAGAATTGATGGATGGGATAGGATGAGATGGAATGAGCTGGGATGGATGAGATAGAGATGGGATAGGATGGGCTGGATGAGATGGGATTGATAGGCTAGGCTGGGCACAGGCTAGAGCTGGCTGGGCTGGGATAGGGATAGGATAGGATGGAGATAGGGCTGGGCTGGGATAGGGATGAGATGGGATAGGATGGGATGGGATGAGGATAGGATAGGCTGAGATGGGATGGGATTGATAGGCTGGGCTGGGCACGGGCTGGGATAGGATGGGATGGGATGGGATGGGATGAGATGAGATGGGATGGGATAGGCTGAGATGGGCTGGGCTGAGGATGGGATGGGATGGGATGGGATGGGATGGGTGTCTGTTCTGGAGGCTCCCTCTGTGCTCTGAGTGTCTCTTTTGGGCTCCCTCCCTTTCTGGGTGTCTATTTTGGGGTCCCTGGGTGGAGTGAGGGTAGTTTTGAGGCTCCCTCTGTGCTCTGGGTGTCTATTTTGGGTTCCCTCCCTTTCTGGGTGTCTCTTTTGGGCTCCCTCCCTTTCTGGGGGATGGGATGGGCTGGGCTGGGCTGGGATAGGGATGGGATGGGATGGGATGGATGGGATAGGGATGGGATGGGATAGGATGGGATGGGATTGATGGGATGGGATTGATGGAGCTGGGCTGAGCTAGGGCTGAAGCTGAGCTGAGGCTGGAGCTGGGATGGGATGGGATGGGATGGGATGGGATGGGATGGGATGGGATGGGATGGGATGGGATGGGATGGGATGGGAGCAGTAGGATGGGATGGGATGGGATGGAGATAGGGATAGGGATGGGATGGAGATGGGATGAGATAGGCTGGGCTGGGATGGGATGGAGATAGGGATGGGATGGGATGGGATGGGATGGGATGGGATAGGATGGGATGGGATGGGATGGGATGGGATAGGATTGATGGGATGGGATTGAGCTGGGCTGGACTGGGCTGGGCTGGGATGGGATGGGATGGGATGGGATGGGATGGGATGGGCTGGGCTGAGTGGGATGGGATGGGATGGGATGGGATGGGATGGGATGGGATGGGATGGGATGGGATGGGTAGGATGGATGGGATTGATGGGATGGGATGGGATGGGATGGGATGGGATGGGATGGGGTGCATTTTGGGGTTCCCTCTGTGCTCTGGGTGTCTCTTTTGGGCTCCCTCCCTTTCTGAGGGATGGGATGGGATGGGATGGGATGGGATGGGATGGGGTGGGATGGGATGGGATGGGATGGAATGGGATGGATAGGATTTGATGGATTTGATGGATGGGATGGGATGGAAATGAATGGATGGGATGGGTGTGTGTTTTGGGGCTCCCTCTGTGCTCTGGGTGCTCTGGGTGCTCTGGGTGTGTATTTTGGGGTCCCTGAGTGAGGGGGTGTTTTGGGTGCCCCTGGGCTGTTTTGGGTGTGTATTTTGGGTTCCCTCTTTCTGGGTGTGTATTTTGGGGTCCCTCCCTTTCTGGGGGATGGGATGGGATGGATAGGATTTGATGGATTTGATGGATGGGATGGGATGGGATGGGATGGGATTGATGGGATGGGATGGGATGGGCTGGGCTAGGCTGGGCTGGGCTGGGCTGGGCTAGGCTGGGATGGGATAGGATGGGATGGGATGGGATGGGATGGGATGGGATGGGATGGGATGGGATGGGGGCTGGGCTGGGCTGGGCTGGGCTGGGCTGGGCTGGGCTGGGCTGGGATGGGATGGGCTGGGATGGGATGGGATGGGATGGGATAGAGGTGCATTTTGGGGCTCCCTTTGTGCTCTGAGTGTCTCTTTTGGGCTCCCTCCCTTTCTGGGGATGGGATGGGATGGGATGGATAGGATTTGATGGATTTGATGGATGGGATGGGATGGAAATGAATGGATGGGATGGGATGGGGGTCTATTTTGGGTTCCCTCTGTGCTCTGAGTGTCTCTTTTGGGCTCCCTCTCTTTCTGGGGGATGGGATGGGATGGGATGGAATGGGATTGGATTGGATGGGGTGGGATGGGATGGGCTGGGCCGGGCCGGGCTGGGCTGGGCTGGGCTGGGCTGGGCTAGGCTGGGCTGGGATGGGATGGGCTGGGCTGGGCTGGGGGTGCATTTTGGTGTCCCCTCCCTTTCTGGATTGTTTATCCCCCCTCCCCTCCCGTGTCCCTCCCCCCAGGGGTGAACATCGCGTACCTGAACGCCGGGCTGGGCGCCCACAAAGCGTCGAGCCTGGCGGAGCGGCAGCGGGAATATCTGCTGGATATGATCCCACCCCGCTCCATATCCCAGCCCATCAGCGGACAGAAATAACCCCCCCTCACCCCCCTGGGGCTCCTCCTGCCCCTCACAAGGTTGTGTTTTTTTTGGGGGGAAAAAACCCCCGGAAAAAAAGGAAAAAAAAACCCCGGAAAAAAGGAAAAAAAACCCTGGAAAAAAAGGAAAAAAAAAATAAGGAAAAAAAAAAAAACCAACCAGGAAAAAAAAACCTGGGAGAACAAAGACAAGGCAAAGCCACCCCCTTATCCATCCCACCCCCTTTTTCCAGGTTTTTGGTATCCCCCAGGCTTCTTTTTTTTTATTATTTTTTTCCCCCTCTGTGGGGTTTTTTTTTATTTTATTTTTTTTTCCTCCCCCTCTGTGGGGTTTTGGGGTTTTTTATTATTTTATTTTATTTTTTCCCCTCTCTGTGGGGGTTTTGGGGTTTTTTTATTTTATTTTATTTTTTTCCCTCCACCTCGTGGGGTTTTGGTTTTTTTTTTATTTTATTTTATTTTTTCCTCCCCTCTGTGGGGGGTTTTGGGGTTTTTTTATTTTATTTTATTTTTTCCTCCCTCTCTGTGGGGTTTTGGGTTTTTTTATTTTATTTTATTTTTTTACACCCTTTTTTTTGGGGGGGGTGTTTTTTTTTTTCCCTCTTTATTTTCCCCCTCCTTTTTTCCCTCAATTCCCTCCTCCAGCCCCGTTTTCCTTCGCTCCCTGGATTGCTTGAAGCTTTTTTTTTATTATTATTATTATTATTTCAAGAGACTTTGCCCAGGGGGGAAATTCCTGCCTGGAATTCTGGGGACTGTTTTTGGGAAAGGGGGGGATTTAGGGGCAGCCTGTGCTGACTGGGGGGGGGTTGGGGTCCCAAAACCCCTTTGGTTTTGATCCTGGGGGTCCCAAAATCCCCCCAACTCCAATCCTGGGGGTCCCAAACCCCCTCAACTCCAATCCTGGGGGTCCCAAACCCCCTCAACTCCAATCCTGGGGGTCCCAAACCCCTCAACTCCGATCCTGGGGGTCCCAAACCCCTTTAGTTCCAATCCTGGGGGTCCCAAAACCCCTTTGACTTTGATCCTGGGGGTCCCAAACCCCCTCCAACTCCGATCCTGGGGGTCCCAAACCCCCTCAGTTCCAATCCTGGGGGTCCCAAAACCCTTTTGGTTCCGATCCTGGGGGTCCCAAACCCCTCAACTCCAATCCTGGGGTCCCAAAACCCCTTTGGTTCTGATCCTGGGGGTCCCAAACCCCTCAGCTCCGATCCTGGGGGTCCCACAACCCCCCCAGTTCTGATCCTGGGGGTCCCAAAACCCCTTTGGTTCTGATCCTGGGGGTCCCAAACCCCCCCAGCTCCGATCCTAGGGGTCCCAAACCCCCAGCTCCGATCCTGGGGGTCCCAAACCCCCTTTGACTCCACAAAAGGATCCAGGAGACTCCATGTATTCCATCCCAAGGATCCCAGACCCAACTGGACTCACCAGGAGGATCCAGGAGACCCCTTGGATCCCATCCCAGGGATCCCAGACCCTGCTGGACCCACCAGGAGGATCCAGGAGACCCCTTGGATCCGATCCCAGACCCCACTGGACCCACCAGGACCCTTGGATCCCTTCCCAAGGATCCCAGACCCCGCTGGACCCACCAGGACCCCTTGGATCCCATCCCAAGGGATCCCAGACCCCGCTGGACCCACCAGGAGGATCCAGGAGATGCTGATCCTGACCCCTTGGATCCCATCCCAGGGATCCCAGACCCAGCTGGACCCACCAGGAGGATCCAGGAGA